GGGACGGGTCGCTCCTGATAACATGTCCAAAGTATTTGAGATGAAGTCTCACCATCCTCCTGTGTTCTAGGGGCCTGAATTATATCACGATAGCATGCAAAAATACTGCTGGGGTTCGCTATGGCTTTGATGGGAAGAAAAAGTGCAAATAAATTTCCGATGGCATCACTCTGCATTATTTTGGCCAGAAAATGTACACATCTTAATAAATTTGTATTTCAGCTGTTTATTGAAGTTTGTGTAACGGTTTCAAATTAGCTTGGAAATTTGGAATTTCTGGAGAATTCCGTGACTCTTCTAGTGTATTTCCTTTCATTATATAAGGATTTGTAATTTCCAATAGCAACATAGGTCTCTCAGCCACCTTAATGCTTTTGAGAGCAGACTGTTAGTGAAATCTCTACCACAGCATGATTTTATTCTACATCAATACATCCCCTCGCGCTCTGTCCCAGCACGCCCCCTCGCGCTCTGTCCCAGCACGCCCCCTCCTATTCTGTATCAGTACGCTCCCTCGTATTCTATACCAGTACGCTCCCTTGTATTCTATACCAGCACATCCCCTTGTGGACCAAAAGCTAAATCCTGGAACAATCTCTAACAAGTAGTCATCACAGCAGCAATTATATTTTTGCTTTTGAATTAACCTGGTTAATTGAAACAATCTCTGAGTGTCCAAAAAGAACTTATCGGCTAATCAAGGGGGTAAGGAGTCCTCACGGTGCTCTGCAAGAGAAAGACCTGGTGATCTGCTTCCATACAGCCTAGAAAACCTTATGAGGACAGTCTACTTGGTCACATGGGGTCGCCTAAATCAACTTCCGGGCACCCAACAAGAACGAACTTGGCATGTTAATAAACAAACTAGCACAGTGCCCCTGGTCCACTATCCCGGGGGAACTCGGATTATCTGAAGAGCTTATGATCAACTTCAACCTGACTAGTCAGTTAAAAAGATCTTGTTGATAGTTAATGTGAACACAGGCGATGAGAATTTTCCACTGCGGAGAATAAGAAGAGGAAAATGAATAAAAGTTTCTAGTACATTCTGCTTTGGAAAGAGCCTTTTATTACATCTAATATTTTCACCCAATAAGCAACATCATGATAAAGAGAGAAAAGATTGAAGTTGTCAAGGATTTCATTTTACTTGGATGCACCATCAACGCCCATGAAATCAAAAGACGGACTGCATTGGGCAAATCTGCTGCAGAAGACCTGTTTAAAGTGTTGAAAAGCAAATATGTCACCTTCAAGACTAAGTTGCGCCTGACCCAAGCCATGGTGTTTTCAATTGCCTCATATGCATGTGAAAGCTGGACAATGAATAAGGAAGACCGAAGAAGAACTGACGCCTTTGAATTGTGGTGTTGGCGAAGAATACTGAATGTACTATGGACTGCCAAAAGAATGAACAAATCTGTCTTGGAAGAAATACACCCAGAATGCTCCTTAGAAGCAAGGATGGCGAGACTACGTCTCACATACTTTGGACATGTTGTCAGGAGGGATCAGTCCCTGGAGAAGGACATCATGCTTGGTAAAGTAGAGGGTCAGCGAGAAAGAGGAAAACCCTCAAGGAGATGGACTGACACAGTGGCTGCAACAATGGGCTCAAGCATAACAACAACGGTGAGGATGGTGCAGGACCCAGCAGCGCTGTGTATGGGGTCGCTATGAGTCAGAACCGACTCGACAGCACCTGACAACAACAATACTTTCACCTGTGGGCAATACAATTTGAACTGATGTGTCTTTATTTGACAGAAATATTTTTCCTATTTGAATTGCTTGCTACAATTTTTTTTTTTAACAAACACAATATATATTCACTGGGAAAGATTAGCAAACACAAAAAATCTAAAGAGAAAATAAAAAGCATCTGTAATTCCACTACTCAGGGATAACCACTTTTAACCCCATGGCATCCACCCTTTAAATGTGGGCATTTTTAGAACTGACCGCACCATCATCACCGCTGTTTATGCACTCTGGCTGATTTCTGTGATCGGAGCAGAACGCAGGGCACTCTGTCCCTGCGATTTTTAAAACACTGGATTTCCATTTGCAATCTGCGGGAGGCTAAACCCTTAATTAGTAACAGCAGGTGCTGAAGTCCTTACAGCAAATCACTCCCACGTTCCAGCGCGTTATTTAAGTCACTCTTATCACCAGGAGCAGAGCTGAAGATCAGCAGCAGCTGCATGGACTGATGCTCCCAGGCAATCGCTGGTCCCCGTTTCCCTAGGAGTCAGAGGATTTAAACAGCTCTAGCTAGAGAAACTGAGCAAGCTGTGCCCCCTGGAAATGCAAACAAAAGGTCCATGTGGGACTTCAGACTTTCTCATGGGTCAAACCAAACCCAACCCAACCCGTGCCTTCCAGTTGATTCCAACTCACAGCAACCCTACAGGACAGGGCAGAACTGCCCCATAGGGTTTCCAGGGCGGTAATCTTTATGAAAGCGGACTGCCACATCTTTCTCCTGAGAAGTGGCTGGTGGGATTGAACAGCCCACCTTCTGGTTAGCGGCCGAGCACTTAACCACTGCGCTACCAGGGCTAGGAAACCATAATTACATATGTATGCCTACATAATAAACCATTTAATTCCAAATTCCACTTAGTGCGGCTTTGCCTAATCCTGCACGATGATTTGTTTTTCCCTTTTTGTTTTAATAGGCTTCTCCATTTTAAAAAGAAAGAAGAAAACCTGTTAAACTGGTCCACTTCAGAATAGTGTTGTTTCGGTTTCAGAAAGGTGCTCCTGATTAAGAGTCAGGAGATTAAGTCCATAGAACATTCTAACG